ACGGCCTTAATACAGCATTTACAGACACTTTCCTGCTTCCACCACGTGGAAACGTTAGGAGTGAGCCGTCTTTAATTAAAGATACCTGCCTCACCGAGCTAACAGCAGCGGCCAGGCTCATGCCCCACCAGCACCCAGCTCGGTGGGCAGCAAGTGCTTTACTCACACAATTCTCACACAACACTGATCTCGGGGTCTCGACTGTGGCTGGCACAGCAAGGCGGCCTTCCTCCCCTAGTGTAAAATAAACCTAGTTACAAATAAGCTAGTTACAATATGCAAATTCCTCCCACGTGTTAGGACACAGCTGGTGCCTCGGTCCCAGGAGCGGTACACACTGACATGGGCGACTCCTTTCCATCCCGAGTCACCTCTGCCCCTGAGCCACCTTCTGCCTGACTGGCCTTGAAAAACATACACCAAGGCTTTTTCTGCAAGTCAGAAACCTCCACAGAGGAAGCTCTGACTCTAGAGTGCACAGTAAATAGGCAGACTAGCTGTGGCTGTACTCTATAGAAGAAATCAGCCCAGATTTTCCACTGTTTTGTTTACACCTGCTATCTGATCTGTAAAAGTACTAAAACCAGACTTGAGCCCATCTTAGAAATGTGCTCCAGCTGATTTGGTCACCCTCACAAAGATGAACAGCTTTCAAAAATAGGCAGATCGGAGCCAAATTTTGTCTGTCTTGACTTAGCTGGAATAGCGAGGCAACTCTCAAGCACCGGAGACATAAAAATGAGGTGGCTAAGCACTAAAAGGAAAAAACCCACTTCTGAATTTCTTTTAACATATATAAACAGAAGGAAAAATTAATTACTTGAGCACCAGTGCTACTGGTGTGCTCACAAAGGGTCAGGTAGATCTTTTGGAAAGGGCTGAAGCATTACAAACATCAGGGCAGCTCAGGTCTCCAACCACATGACCAGCCCCTGACTGCCGCGTTCGTTGGGTCAGGACAAACACAGTGTGTCAACCACTGGCCTGAATTGAAAACGATCCATCCAGATTTATTTATTCCTACTAAAACAAAATCCTGTTAAACAGTACGTAACTCTGTGTCTCTACAAACTCACAGCTATCTGCCAAACAATAAAAATTCCAAACTACAAAAGATGAGTTGTATTCAGTAAATATAAATGGGAAATTTAGGCTTTGTGTAGAATGTTTATCAGACTATTTACAGTGCAACACAGATCATTTGAGTTCAGATCTCGCCAGCTTCTCTCTCTTCTGATCTCTTGGAACGAGATTTGCCATTTGTGCTCTCGTGCCGCCTCTCAGAAGAGCTCTTCTCTTTTCTCTCTCTGTCTCGTGACTTTTCTCTTGAAGATCGATCTCTAGAAGATCTGAAGTACAAAGTAAACCACCGCTATAAGTTTCACAACTAAAAGAATTTTCAAATATGCACAAAATTACAACATCCTTCCCTAACAGGGCTGGGGCATAACACAAGTTTCTTACAGAAATGTGCCTCGGTACTGTGACATCGGGAGTGGCGTCCCCCAAGACAGCAACTCCAGGCCCTCTACAAGCTTTATGTAAGAGAACGCCAGCTCTGCAGCGCTGAGTGCACAGCCCAGCCTTTATTACTCTCTCCTTCGGGTAATCCTTTCAAGCTGTTGCCACAGGGGCTCTCTGAAGTCTTCCCTGGGCCTCACTAAAGTGCTCGCCATTTCTTCCTCGTCTATGATTCAGCTCTGTTTGGGTCTTCTAGAGTGTTTTTTCATTATGCTCTAAGCTAGTGGCTTTCTGCTCAAGTGCTTTAAATACCAACTGTATTCTTTGGACTCAAAACGCTTGCTCAGCCCTGGGCTTTTTACTTTGCATCCTGACAAGCACTGTCCTTGACAGCATCCTGGGTTCAAACTCAGGATGATACAGATTTATACTCACAGCCTACAACACCAGCAAATCTTTTCACAGTCTGCCCGAGTGACAGCTACAGATTTTTAGCAGTGCTTCACTGTGTCAGCCCACACAGAATTAAGCAGAAGGCTTCATATTAGGTTTCCTGTGTGATTCATGCCAGCTTACTGACTTCAAAGAATTCAGCCTTCAAAAGGTGCTGATCTCGAATGAGCTCTAGCAGCCCATACCCCTTCAGAACTAGGCAGAGGCTTTCACAGACGTCACAGAGCCAGCACATTTTACTCTAGGACTTGGTACGTAAGCTTTTCTTTACAGTCACAAGAAGAGGACCTGGCAGGTACCTTAGAGGTTCCAGCTTCCATTCGCGTTGATTGTAAGGTTTGGAAATACTGCACAATCGATATATTAAAACCTTACAGCCCTCTGTATCATGTGAGCCATTTCATTTTCAATACATTGTGTCACTTAGCCAGAAGACAACATGAATCAGTCTGATGAGATGAACTCCTTTCCTGTTCCCTGCTGCCTGTAGTCCTCCTGCCCCAAGATCTGCAGATGCTCTGACAGGCTCTCTGGTTCTTTCTACAAGTGAGACCTCAGACCGGCAGAACATGAAGGCAGGTTTCATTGATTCTCGAGGTGGAAAGAGAAGCTACAGTCTTTCAGGGAACAGGGTTTGCCTGTTTGTTCTCTTGTTTTTGTTTTATTTTTTTAAACTGATCCTAGTCTCTTCCCCAGCTCCCAGTAATTTTGTGAAAGTATGTCAGCTAGCCAATCCCCCTACAATCTTGATAGGCGGATTTGAATGTGTTCAAGGTTTTTGAAGTAATCCCTTACCTGCTCTTTAGTAATAGTTATTACAGGGTCTTCCTCACTTCCTAATTGTCCAAACTTCTTTTCTTTATTTTTCATGTTCAAGACAGATTTAAAAAAGGACTTTAGTATCTCAGCCATTGGAGAATCAACAGTATTTACACCCCCCCTCAATTATTAACAGACTTATTTTTTCAGACCATTATTTCCCTCCCCTTCATCAGGTATCTTTGAAACCTGTTCTTGCCCCTTAGCTAAAGTGACACAAGACACACAACAGTAGGTTTGCTTCTAGAAATATACTCCAGTGGTGGTGCCTAATCAGGAGAGACAGTGCTATAGCATTCCCCTATTAATCAGAGGCATTTAAAAAAAGCCAGATCTAACTTCACCAATCACGTGGTGATAAGACTTGCTCCTGGCCTTAGAAGGGCTGTAAGGAAACACTATTCCTTTCAGTTTTTCTAATACTCCTACGTCTGCTTGCTTCATCCTTCCTTCAACACAGTCGGTGTTTTGCTGTTTCAGAAAAGACTTAAAGCCCTTCTTCAGACTATAGCACTCCTCCTCAGTGACAGGAGAATGGTATACACCTCCTCCTGGCTTCTTCTTCCCCTGCTTCCAGTGCAGATTCCTAAAGAATTGTTTCTCTCGAGCAGAATTCTAACAGAAGACTTTCCCCAGATCCCAAAATCATATACTTCCTTCCCCACACCAGCACCGAGAGAAAGCAGCTGGCAAGCAGAAAGTAACCATAGAAATGTAACGTCAAAACTGCCTCTCAGTTACAGGCTTTTACAGGCCTGGGGAAGCTCAAGCAGGCCTTGGTGCTGCTTCTCATACAAGAAAACCAACAATTTCTCAAGGCTCAGCACTGCAAATCAGGGAATCAGTTCCATCTCCTAGACTCTCCTCTCAAGCTGGGATCTCGCTCTACAGTTACTGCCCTCCTGCTCTCACAGGTGAGGCCACCTATAGATGGCCACCGGGAAATCCTGCTTTGGCCCAGGAGCTGGTACAGGACACTGCAGCTGCTAACTCGAGCACCCTGTCATACTCCTGCTTGCTCTAAGGGTCTGGGGAGGCTCACTGTGATGCCAAGGACTCCCCTTTGCATAAATACTCGTGTCAGGAATACATACTTGTGTTTTGAACTCCTGTCTCTGGAACCCCGTCGGTGACCTCTGCTGTGGCTGCGAGAACGGCTCCGGTGGCGTCTGTGTCGGTCTCGGGACCGGGAACGAGACTTCCGCCGTTCACGGGAAGCTGATCTCGAGCGTCTTCGCCTCCTATCCCGAGACCGTGATCTGAAGAAGACACAGATTGCCTCAGACTCAAGAGACAGGCCAGTACATCGGAACTGCATACCTGAGCCCATCTCTCAGACGTTCCTGCGTAACAAATACCCAGAGGATCAGCACTCACCTCCGCTAGCCACATCCCTGCCAATGCAGAAGGCAGATCACCCACAGGGTGGGCATCTCCCTCCTGGGCCTCATGCTACCAACAAAATGCCAATGGGTAAGTTCGATTTGCTGGGAAATTTATATAAAAAGCTCCCCCAATTATTATAAGCATGTGCTGATGCCTAAGAGCAGAGTTTATCAACTGTGCCTCAAAGTGAGGCCTGTAAGAGTAGAAGAGCGCCCAAAGTAAGAGGCATGTGAAATTACCGTAACCCGTGTGGCAGTCTGCCAAAAGAGAGTCTCCCTTTTGAAAGTACTGTGCTTTAGAACCAGATTTGTTTCAATCTGCTCTGAAAACAAAACAAAGGATGCCAATATATACAAAAAGCAGTAGAGAGGAAGATCTCCAGGTACGTGATCACAGAGAATGCTTCCGTACCATTAAGGCAAGCTCTTCACAGAGATGTGGGGGCTTTAACCTTGAATCTCTCTATTTTTTATATCTGAGGTATTATGTATGTAACAGATACATTTCAGACATTAAAATTATGAACGTATATTAGACAGTTATTGAAAGAGGCATCAAGTATATTCTTAGGCTCGTACTCTGGAGCACACAGCACCCTCTGTCCTGACCAGGCTAGCCAGCATCTCCTTTACAGCCCAACCAGTGACACTGAGTTACGCAGCACCAGGGAGGTGCTCAAGCAGTAGTTCCCATTTCTTTCAAGGAGCAAAACAAAGCTACTGGAGCACTGAGTGAACTCCATCTGTGAGACCCAGGAAAAACCTCAGTAGCTAGACAGAAACACAAATAGGCATTTGGGAGAACTGTAGAACTGTGCACTCACCTTCGACGATCTCTATTTCTTGATCCAGACCTAGAAAGAAGAAGAGAATTAAGCGAGAGAAAGTACGATATAGCCAGTGGGTGTTTCCAATCCAACAACCTCATCCACCCTGGCAGCTCTTCACAGGAAGACAACAATACCCCCAGTAATATGTCAGTTTGAAAAAAGCTTGCCATTAAAACATTTAATTAGCTTCAATTTGGGAGGCAGGAAGAATTTGTCAAAAACTGAAGAACTTAGTAGAAACACTAGTTTCCATACACAGAGCTTCCTGTCAGAACAGAAAAGGTCTACAAACCAATTCAGTCTCTGTTAGTAAAGCACCACAAGGAACCTTTCCGACTTTAAGTTTGCTGTGCATGTTTGTTATATACTCTTTAACATAATTTTCAGGAAAAAGTGCCACTCTCCAGTCAGAAAGACACTTGACAGTTTTCTAATTTTGGTTCCTTTGAGATAGTTGCACATTAAGAAGGTTTTAATAAAGAGAAAACTGCATCTTCTCACTCTTCATATTTATTTAACAAACATTAGAAGGAAATTTGCATCAATGATTTTTTCCCCTGTTTGGGAAAGATGAGGTAGAAAAAAAGAGGGGATGCAGACACAAGGGAAGAACTATTATTGATAAGTAACTGAGAGATAGACTGAAAAGCCTTCCTTCATCCCAGACTGAGAAAGCTACTTGAGAAGAATCATCTAAGCCTCACTATTCTTTCTCACACTTCCATGGCTTCAGAGCTCATGTGCAGCACTCTCACCTTAACACTGTAAGCATTAGCTATTTTTTTTTTTTTTGCCAGTCTGTAAATAACAATATCACAATTCTTTCAACTTCTGCAGCACCATTACTCAGCACCACTTGAAATACCACTCTGCGTTGAAGACACGCCCTCCCTCTTTCTCTGTGGCCACATTTCAGAGCCGGCTTACACCAAAACATCACACACTGTCTGAGCAGTCTCTTTTTGCTTTAACTGAGAAGCAGCCAGTCTCCCTGTTCAGTGATTTGGAGATTCACTCTCCTAACTGCTCCCGTCTCCCCACTGCATACAGACTCACAGGGGGTGTCCCATTTACACAGCCACAGAGCTGTCGTGGTGCTGTAACAGGAGATGCAGCTGAAAGCTACACACAGGCAAAATTTTAAAAAGCAAGAGAGAAGCATCTATTTTAGTAATATCATTTAAAACCATACCTGGATAAGACAAGATTAAGAGAATCAATGTGCACTGACATTCCTTCACAATGAAATGGGATTGTTCAACCATGGTATAAAGAAAAAAAACAAACTCAAAATTTAGAAGGGAATTCAGGTAGAAGGACTGTAAACAAGGTGGAGCTGAACTTGGGAGTCAGGCAAGTGAACTACACGCTGAGGCAATGCACAAGACGACCAGATGAAGGAAAAGCTGATAAACCAGAAGAGCAAGGCAACAACCACAGACCTCCTTTTTCATGTAAGAGAACCTGACAGAACAGCAGGACCTCCTGTAGATGCCTGGCAGGTAGCTGAATTTTTTTGGTGGCTGTAATTACTCCAAGTTCTTAATGTTCTTTTCCTCCTGATCACTTTATTCTGAATCACTGGTGGACGCATCCACACAAAGCCCTTCCACATGCCCTGAAAAGCCTGGCTGCCCTTCCACACCTCTGATCTGAGCAGGAGTATGCACAATAAACTCCTGATAATCACTCCCTAGCGCTAGACTTCAGAAGTCAGGAGGCATCCAACAAACAGCACTTTCCTTACTAGCCTGAATCGCACACAGCAGGAGACAGTAGAAGACTGCTGTCCAGAGGAGTGAGAGCCTGAGCATATTTATTTATTTATTCCTCTTTTTTGTCCCTGCATCACAGAGGCTATGTGCTGAGTTTCATAACCTCTGTTTTGTCCAACTTAATACAAAGGAAATCCATTTGGCATTGTTTGCTGGTATACTCTGGAAGCAAATACCGAGGTCTGCACTTCCAAGCATGCCACCTCTCCGCAGAATTCCAGTCTTCGCAGATTACTGGGTAGCTCACAGTCACCAGCAACACCAAATAAAGGACTTGTGTTTATTTACCACTAGGGGTGACAACCCAATTCACTCATTCCTGTGTGGAACTCACAGTTTAGTTGAGAAATTAATAGTCTGTGAGAGGCAGAGTTTCACAAGTCAATCTAGAGGTTTCCATAGTATGTCACAGTGCCTATAAGTCACCAAAGACTTCTCAAAGTCAAGCAGTACGCTTTCTCTTACTGAATAACACTGTGAAGACACCGCATATGAAGATATGACAAGAGTTGTGACGGAAACATTTGATACGACAAGAAGAGTTATGATGGAAACATTATGACGTTTTCTGTGGGTCCTTAAAGTATTAAGCTCTGAGGCAGCCTCAGAGAGGCAGTCCGAAAGGCGGTAGAAGTCACTGATCAGTTTTTGACAGAAAAATGCCCCTCTAAATACGGTGTTGCACAGCTCCCAGCGGATAAGATGCTGAGAAATCGAGAAATCTGGTCTGTAATCTCAGTTCTGACATTGAGTGTCCACTCGGGAAACAATTTTCCTTCTCTGGGTCAGGTTCTCATTTTGGAGAGGTAAATAATTTGACCTCCTCTGTATGGCACTCCTGGCTCCTTCATAACAAGTTTTTCTTTGGTATCTGAACAGAGGAGCATACAGATGCCTCCATACAGAGCAAGAGCAAAGGCTGGCCACAGTCTCTAAGTAGTGCCACATACAGAACCAGTGAGAACTCAGACTTCGGGCCAACACAAGGCAGTTCTTAAACCCTTTGTATTTAAAGCATTAAATAAACATTCAAATGCCATCTTCAAACCCCCTCATCAGCTGCATCCATACATGGACTATCTGTGAATACAAGAGGCTTCTTAACTCTCAAGAACTGAGGGTTTGGATTTTTTTTAAGAACCACAAAACCACAGACATGCCACAGGAGGAAGAAAGCCAGCATTTTGGGAAGATGTAGACCAACAAAGAGATCTAGAGGACTCTTCCTGAAGGCAATTGCTCTGTTGAGCAAATTTCACAGAGAAATGACCTCCAGGAAGGCACCATGGAGACAGACACACTGAGTCCAAGTAAGATATGGTCCCACTGTGGGTCTGAAAGAGCCTGCCACAAAGCAGCTGCATGGGAAGACACTTCTTGTTTCATTTCTATCTTTCTGATCACAGCACCAGCATGCTATGTCATGACTGCAACAGCAGTTCCTTTCCATTAACTCCTGTACTCAGCCAGTTCCAGGTTCTGCAGCTCCCAAATGACTGCACTATTGACAGTCTTGCATGGATGCCAGAAAGTTGTGAGGCTCTACATGAAGTGTTGCAGTTCAGGAGAAAGTTGCAGCACAAACTGGCACTTCATGTGACACCCAGAAAGAAAACCCACATAAAACACCCTAACTGGAGAATGCATAACAATTTGGGGCCTGCATCTTCACAATACACCAAAATCATCAAGCTGTAGACCACAGAAAACCAAGCCACTTCGATTCTGATATTTATTTGCTAGCATTTCCAGCAACGTATACCCAGAACCCAGCACCACCTTAGAGCATACTGCAGATACGTATCTCATATGCCTCAGACACAGATGGCTGAAACACAGTCTTCAGTTGACATTGAGGGTCAAAAGGAGCTCTCCATAGGCAGCAACGTTTGGGTTTTTTGACACAAGAAGCACAAGAGGAGAAACACGTGAGGTAACTGGGGAGATGCTGTGACAATGAGAACAGCATTCCTACTCAGCCACTCCCTCTGCCTGACCACTGCAAATAACCACCCTCTCCACACCAGGCTGTTCAACTGAGCTGTTTACACACAAGATGCCTGTTTAGTTCAAGTACAAAAGAAATAGTTTTTCCAGTTCAGCTGGCAAGATGCAGAACAGCTTGTCTTGAGAATACCAACATTGCAGTCACTCCCACTGCTCCAGGAGTACACACCTATGAGCAGAAGGTGACAAATATGGCCACAACCACCAGAAGCAGCCACTCCTCGGGATCCCTTGGATCCCCTAGGATGTGTTTTCCAAAGCTGTGCCAAAAGCACCTCACTGTTCTTGTAGAAAAGTTTCTGAGCAAGACAAGCAGCCCACCATCTGGCTCACGGACACCAGCTCCATTCTGTTGTTACCTCCTAGCCTAGAAGTGACGAGGGCTGCCCGGGGAATTTTTGCATGACTAGTGCCTTTTGAGCAGACCAAGACCTGACTCATCTTAAATCCTCCCATTCAAATGCATCGGATGAGGGCATTTTAGCCAGATTCAGATTTCCAAAGACAGGGGACTAGACCAATATAAGCCTGAAGACTACAGGGAGCTCACATCTTTCAGATACATAATGGAGGTTAAAACAATGCACATACAATCACTCTAAGGTGGGGGTTTTGTGTATTTGTTTTCATCTTTAAGTGAATGCCAAGGTGCTCACGCAGCATCCAGAGCAAGTCCAACAGCTACTGCAGCAGCAGATGCTGCTTTCCTGCAATGCTCAGATACAAGAAATCAGACTATTTCAAAACCAGCCTCACAAGCCAGTTATCAGCTTCCACTTACCGTCTGCCCATTCTCTCCTCTCGTTCTCTCTCCTCTCTCCGTCTCAAACGATCCTGGTTTCTCTTCTCTTGCTTTTCTGCCACTGTTTTCTAGGAAAAAAGTCCACATCGTATTTCAGCCATACAGTAAAAAGTCAGAGAGATCTGGAGGGAGACTATTCCAATAGTAAGACAAAGAACCATTTCACTGCATTTTATGTGCTAGTCAAGATCTCTATCAAGGTTCTCATTTTCCTCACAACTTCACTAACATACATCAGTGCAAGAAATGCCGCTCCCTACTCTGCTTTAAGAGACAAGCCCATAAGCTTTGAGGCAAGGGACTGTCTCACCATGAGTGTACACAACACACAATGAAACAGCGCCCTGGCCTCGAGCCAACAATCAGTCGAGGCACTGACCTCAATATATTGCCTCATGAATAAGGCGCACAGGAGTCACAACTCTGACTCAAGCAGGCTAAAGGTCTCCATTTGCAAGCAAGGCCAGCACCGCAACTCCATTGCAAAACATTTCAGAACACTTCTCATCGCTTCAGCTACTGAAGACCTTTTTCACTGACGGTACTATGTGAAACTTCAGGTCAAGCATTTCGTGAAGAGGTCTCAAAGTCAAGAAAATGCAGAGTGACAAATTTCAGCCATATCAATGAGAAAAATACAGGTGACTATACCCATGCTCTAAGGAATAAATGACAGCAGTGGTCTGGTTTGACTAATTCTGAGAGTACATATTTAGTTAACCAGAAACTACAGAACAGAACCCAAGGTGAGGCTATGCAAAACCTCCCTTTCAAGTTTCAGGGATTCTGCAACCAGAAATTTCCGGGCTTTCACAAGCACTCCAAAAGAATTCTGTATCAGTTTAATAAAAGTGTTGAATGTCTTCAAAACTACAAGGAGAAGGTTTAAAACAGAGAGGATTACCCTCAACTGATCCAGTTTCTCACGAATCTGAATGAAACCCAAGTGTAATTTGCCTCCAAAGTGGTCAGCGAGACGCCGGTCGTTGTCATGGAGACCCAGATATGCTGAACAGACTTCGCACACACGCAGCTTCTGCTGCTGGAAACTGGATGCAGGCATTGAATTGCGGTATTCTTCCTAAAGGGAGGCAAAAAACCATGCAAATGTCAGAGAACCCTTACATAGTCACAACCCTCCAGGGAAACCCCTGCAAAGAATCGCACTGCCACTTTCAAGAATCGAAAAAAAACACCCTCAATATAAAGGAGGTGCCACACAAAACGCTTTGCGAGCACAGCTAACTTGACAGTCTATCCCTACAAGTGACTAGTGACCAAATATTTCAGAGGACGAATCCCTCCCTGCCCCAGTCAGCTCTCTTCACTAGACAAAAGTTTCTACAAAGCTTTTCTTCATCAACCACACTACACTGCCAACTGCTTGCTGGCACAAGACTGAAACTGAAAAAGAAGGTGCTGGCAACAGAGGAAAAGAGGGAGAAATTGCCCAGCTGTTTGTCATGTACTCAGCCTAGCCCAGTCCGTTATTACAACTCATGCAAGAACCAATGCCATACCTCTGCCTCTTTCTTTTTTGCTCGGACTTTCTCCACTTCCATCAGGATCTTTTGGGACTCATCAACATTTCCTTCAGCTCCCAGCTGTTCAGCTTTAGCTAGGAGTTTTCCAATGTCTTCATTCAGCTCATGGACTTTCTCTGCCTAAGGAGAATAGTTAGTTTTTAATAAGACAAAAAAACCTGCTAAACTTGCAGGACAACTTTTCCTTTTCCTCTTAAATAATATGTTTAACAAAATCAGTTGTTGGAAGATGAACGCAAATCTCCGAATTCAAGAGTCCCAACAAAAAGGGATTGGTGGGCCAAGTACAGGCAACGCAGCCACAGATACATAGCAAAGAGAGGAACTGGACACGGAGCAGACATCATCAGTTCTGCTGCAAACAGTGGCACATTTCTGGCTCACAGGACAGGATAGAGTCCACAAAACCAGCTTCAGAAATGTTTTATGTTGGCCTCATGAAGCAAGTTCTCAAAGAGGAAACTCCATGAGCATTTGCTAAGTGAAAAAGACAACAATCATGGGACAGACTATTCTGAGCTATTACAGTAACACTGGAGAAACAAATACGCTTTATTGCCATGCTAAAGCAATCTATTTTAGAATTCATGATTTATGCTACTCTGGTCCTCTGAACCAGTAAGTTTGTCACAAAAAAGGCCAGAGCAGCATTTGAGGATGATGGCTGGCATCCACAAAGCCTTTGTGGAGCCTACCTCCCCAGTATCAATGGTGTCAGAGACAACAGAGCATCAGTGCTCTCGCATAAGACTTTCAGAACTAATGTTTAACGAGAGGACAATACCTTTGCAGACACTTCAGCACTGATCTCTTCCTGTGTCTCAGCCAGGCGTTTCTTGGCCAGTTCTGTTCTCCTATCACACTCTGCGATGAAGGATTCCAGATGATCCATCGCCTGCATGTTCAGACAAAGAACTGTGAATAAAGATGCTCTCCGTGCTAGATCTAGCTTTGACAGCCAACAGCTAGCTGGTGCGATCCCTGACAACCTCAAGAACAGAATCCTTGAGAAAAAGAAAAAAATACATGACACTTTGCAGAAAAAGTAAAATTTGATCCCTGCCCTTAAGTCTGTCATCTGCCTGGAACCTGTCACAGTTCCTTTACTCTGACACATAAAAGATGCTCCCATAAAGACTGCTTTGCACTGGAACTTCCAACGCATGAGCAACAGGTGCAAAGACAAAAGCACTGGAATAACACAAAAAGAGAAGACAGAGTTGTTCTTCCACTTGATCTGTTCCATCACTGAAAGCTAAACCCGGCAAAAGTGAAACCAAAGAGCAGAAGGCTTTTAATGTTAAATCTCCTTCTGGGACAGGCCACCGAGTTACAATGACCTGGTACAGAGCAGCAGGTGTGGGATGAAAGGCAGGCCAGAGGAGCCTCCCAGCTAGCTGGACTAATGGGGTTGCAAGGGCCATAATTACTTTTACAGTTTCAGGTCAGCAATCAAGCCAACGTTTGGGAAGGGGCTGCATATTCTTGTCAGACAACACATCAAATAACATGGCTAGCTGAAGCATCCACTGAGTTCTATTGTTCAGCCAAACAACTTCAAGAGGCAGTTTCCGCAAAAGTAACTAAAATTTCTCCGTACTCACATCCAGCTCAAAAAACAGGTCTCTCTCTTTACTTGCAATCTCATAATCTGCTCGCAGTGCCAAGTCATGGATCTTTGTACACTCTCCCAGGTCCATTCGCTGTTGAAAAGAAGAAGGGAAATCTATGTAAGAGCCCTTCATTATGGCAACAAGCAGCAGATACTTCACTCTTGCCAACTGTATCATATCACAATAAAGTCTCTTTACAAAGAGCTTCCTCTTAACCTGTCAGTAACAGAACTAGTCAGAAGAACCACATGCTTGCTAGAACCCCTTTTCTAGGTGTTCCTGGAACAACAATAAAATGTTTTAAGTCCAGTCCTATTCCTGCTCTAGGTCACAGCACAGCCTTAGAAATTGCTGGGAGGAAGCCAGGAAGGCACAGCATGCTGCAGCAGCAACTCCTTCAACGGGCACCAGCCGCAAATGCCTCCTATTATGGAGCTACAGCACAGCAAAACATACAGCTTTGTACCCTGTTTGAAGTTCACCTGGAAAAGCACATCTGTGTCAAGATGAGTCCTAGTAACATACTGAAAGATATGAAATCGTAGAACACAGACAGAATGCTTCCTATCAAGTACAAGTGGACTTCTTAATTTAATATTCCTTATTAAAGGAATAAGGGCTATGGCAAGTAGAAAAGCACAACCCCAGGCTCAGCAACAACAGACTCGTAATTCTTCAGCTAGCTCCTTCCCACATTCAGCTGCAGCCTGCAATTTCAAAACCCGTCCAGCAAAGTTAATCCCTATGCATAAGCCCATCTAATGAGACACTTCTTGAGAGCATCTCCCTTCCCAGAAAGCTGTGACTTACAAGCTGCCCTTCACTTCCATTGCACTCAATGCTATTTACATTTCTTATTTTTCCCCAACCTAGTAGTTAACAGCCCCATGAACTGAAGTTAATTATGCTCTCAAAATATGGAAATTGCATTCTGACGCTAATAATATGTAACAGAGAACATTTCTCTTATCCTTCAAGTAGAAAGAGAATGTGACATTTTGAAAGCCAAAACAATAAAAGGCCTAAGTGTGAGCCACAGTACAAATGTCAGGGTACATGTCATCCCATGAAGGAACACCCCAGCCAGCCACCCTCTTCTCTCCCAGTCACCACCAGTCCCAAGGAGCACAACAGGTGTCAACTCACTGAACTGCAGAAAAAGCTGAACACAGCTAAACCGGGATCAACGCACAATCCCTCTGGAACACAACAAACTAGAGCTGGGCGTGCCAGGGACACTTATAGGAAGCAAAGCACTAAGACGGCAGTGTTTAGAATGAAGCAAAGCACCTAAAGCAAGCTCAACCAGGTAATGCTCAGGTTTTCAGCAGTTACCTGTGTTGTTAGCTTTTCTTTTTTTTTGAAACAACAAAACCCCAAACATTTCTGGATGACTTCCTCTTTTTGCTCAGATTTACAAGAAACAGGAGGCCACAGGCAGCAGGCTACAGAAACAGACACTGCATCCAGGAATAGTCCTGCTGAGCTCTCTAATGGTGGAAATTTAATGCCTACAAAAAAAAAGCATGCTGATACTTTCAGAGCTTAATCATGCTCATCTTCAGACAAGTCTCTTCAAAGAATGCTAGAGAGCTACTGTTGTTTTACCGCAAAAATAATTTTCCATGATGTGACTTAAATTTTTTATTCTTATGGTCATTCTACTGAGACCCCTTTCCAATACAGGGGGCAAACAGTGATATTAGATGTGATTGTCACAGATCATAAGCATGCTTATCTGAACTCTTCTTGCAAGCTGAGCCATTAGCCCCACTTCAGAGAAGGGGCTCCAACCCAAAACTTCAGAAGAGCCACCAGTGTGCTCCATATTCCTCTCCCTGTTAGTTAAAAAGCAAAAAAATCCCTCGGGGGAACATTCAGATCTCGCCAGCATAGAAACCTCAAGTCTTCCTCCACGTCCTTTGAGATGATTTAGGTGCAAGGAGATTTTCACAGGTATTGCTCACTTGAGGTAAGACCACTAGCCCTTCCATCTCAAAGATTCCCCTCGTCTCAGGGATGCCTGTCATCAAATACTCACCCTTTCCAGCAGAGCTCATGACTTGCTCCGGTCAACACCCATGGCTGGTTTATAATACAGGTATTTGAGACAGGTAACCAGCAAAGCCTGAGTAAGATTTAACCCCCTCACAAAGACAGAATACATTTAGATGCCACTGATAATTAGTCCTGCTCACATCTGCTGAGCAATCCACATTCTGAGGTATCTCTTATCATCTCCACTAAACTGCTAACTCACCAGAAAGTCTATTTCCATGAGGAAGGTTCTTAATAGTAATCAGAGCTGCAGAGTTTCACCCAAGTGAAAAAGGAAAGCGCAGACCCCCACAAAACAATTCTGCAACCTCCAGGTTTCAGCTCACTTCTGTCTCCCAGTGGGGGACACAATTAATTCCCTGAATGTAATTTCCAAGCTATGTTCTACCTGGGCAGCTTTCAGACTCATCTGCCCACTTATTAGCAGAGCTAAAATTCAGGAGGATTACCAGCTGATGCCACCTCTGAACGTGCTGTAGTAGTTCCACTGATAGAAATACGCTTACTGTTAGCTGCAGAGCTAACTCAGTGCATGCCACTAACAATCTAGATGACAAGTCCCCTGATAACAGTACATGGGAATACTAAACTAACATCTGTTCTCCCAGAATTTTCCTCCTTACCCATGGAAACCAAACAGAGGACCATTGTAGGTTATTTAGCGACAAGTTTCTGGGACCAAAAAGGAACAATCACAAGAACAAGCCGAATCAAAATTACAGTTCTTATGAACAGGAACACTAGTGCACCTAAACAAAGCAAACACTAACATGCCTCCTCCTCCAGCTCTCAGGAATACTCCAGAGCTTTACTTACAGTCTGGACTCCTCCTCTGACTCTGTACCTGAAGGTCAGGGAATGGGACTCCATCACATTTCACTGAGCACAGCTACCCAAGGGATCCAGCTCCCTGCTCATCTCCAATCAGCCTCCCACTAAGGAACACATGAAGGATGCAGCAGTAACAATGCCTTCAGGGGGAGGATGCAACATAACCAGCACCAGAAGGCTTGGAGCATCTGTTGGAAGTGTCCAAAAAGATCTAAGGTCCTGATTTCTGCAGTAATACACATCCAGAGATGGATGCTCCCCCATCCAGCTGAGGCTGATTCACCCACACAGCACTTTCCTTAACGGAGCACCGTAAGATGCCAGTGAACCTGACCGAGATCACGAGGAAAGCCTGCACGTTCCAGTTAAGTTTCACTCTGTGCTGGCAGTGCTGACAGCTGAAATGCTGTTCCCATTCTGGACATCACATGCTCTTTTAACACAGATCTGTGGCACCAATACTTTTTCCTGTCCCCTAAGAACCTGCTGACAGCGGCGTAGAGAGCTCCACAGCTACTTAAAGGCCACCACAAGATCATTTGTGTGACCCACAAGATCACTTGCGCAGCAGCAGTCTTTCTTCCTGCTCCCACGTGAGATTTCTGAGCACAAATTCCACAGCAAGAGGGAAGACACAACTCACTGCAGACAAGTAACAACAGAAGCAAGAGAAACAAATTTCTCAATGTGCTTCTCCGCCCCAGGAGATTCGCAACCGATCTGAACACCTTAGACTTCCTCCGTGCTTTGGCACTAGCTCCAATAGTCATGCACATCACTTAATTCAACCCCTTCGACTCACCATTTACCTTCTTCCTGGAAACGTGCCAGAAGCAGAAGGCAGCCTGCATCTTCAAAACACCATTTGGACCCCAAAAAACTGTTGTAGAATCTCATGTCAAAAAATATACCCTAACCAGTGATCTGCGTGAAGGATGGAGGTTGGCAGGTGATTTAAACAGCTTTAAAATTCTGAAATGGAAGTGAGATGATATGGAGGCTGATGGAACAATCGCTGAAAAGTACATCTGAGCTTCAAATTAATAAAAAATAAACACAGAGATACATAGTATCATGGTATTCAACTCTTCTAATCTTATTCTGCAATAGCAGCCATTGAGAAGCTAAAGTTTGAGCGCTCAGAGCTGAGGCAGTTTTTACTAAAGCTCTTTCTACTGCTGCTGCCACAGAGTCTTGCTATCGCGGTGACACAACCGGAGGAAAGAGGGCCAGCCCTCCCCTTTATTGGTAACCCACCGTGTCAAACCCAGCTCTTGAAATAACAGCAGGAAGGGCTATAAATAATGATGGTATCTTTAAACAATCTGGTTAAGTAGAGGGACAACATGAATCACCACAGTATTTAGTGTCAAACAGTGAGGGTAAAGATGGATTTCAAACATCCACATTCGTCTCCATCCTGCAATTCTGTAATACAGCAGCAATTACAAGACACGCACCATCTTCTTTTGAAAGTCAGACTGCATCTTTCATCTGGGTGCCTAAATTGAATACTTACTTCGCAAGATCTCTTTGTTAAAAGCTCATGTCACCTCTTGCTCTCAGAGAGAGCACTGTGAGCCAAACCTTTGAAAATTGGCCAGCTCTGTCCCCAGAGGGCAGCAGCGAAGGAGTCAACTCAACCATTTCAAACCAGTCAGGCAGAGTGACACATCGCTCAAACCAACCAACTCTAAAGACAAAGTCGGCCCGAGCTGTAACCTGCCATTAGCACACCAACCAGTAATGATGAAAAATCTGCCATTCCATCGGGGGAACATCACACTGAGATGAGAGAGGACACTGAAAAGCTCTGAGGACTATGGATTATCACAGCTGGTAAAAAAAAAACAAACTTGCTAACCTGAAGATGCAACTAGTGAACTAGAGCACCCAGGACAGCAGGCTAGCTAGAATCTTGCGACCACCACAGGACAAGTTTCAGGCCCTAACAATCTCAGATAAAAGAGAAATAATCTTGCAACTTCACATGGGATTGTGAGGGAAAAAATATTTCACGTGAATCCTGAGCACTCCTGACTTCAGTGGTTCCATACGCAGGTCACAGAAACTGAAATTAAAATTATGACTGCTCCTTGGGCACAGAAAGTCTGATCTCTCCTAGAAGTTACCCACGATGCACAGATGAGCCCTGAAGAGCTGTACCAACGTCTGCCTCGCCAAAATTCCTGATTACAGAGGATATACTTACTGTTCCAGCCAGGATATCATGAGGACAGCAATCCAGAAGGTGGCTCTTGCAAACACGATCGTCTGTAAACTTCACCCTTTGTCTGGTTTCATCTCCTGAAATTCATTTGTGGTTTTAAATAAGGAGACATTAGAATACCGATAAGAGAACAAAGATGTCGGTATGATCATTTCGCCTCAATATGCAGATTAAAATACTTGGTGTTCCTGCTCCCCAAAATTACTCAAAAAGAAAAAAAGCTTAGAGGGTAACAGGATATTCTGGAACACTTATAATTGGCAACAAACACTGTTTTAGCATTTATTCATCCAGTACACCATGTTAAACACAGTGTTGGCGAGCCAAGTAACGTCCAAGGCCTGTCATCCATATAAAGAGACAGCACAGCCAGAAGAGAAAAAAAGGAGACAGACAGTCTGGCTCGCAGCCAAAACCTTTTTTTTCTCCCCTCTTTTTTACTTTGAGGAAGGGGCAGGAAATACTGAAACCCACACTATCGGAGGGCCATAAATCACAAAACAGGGCTGTGCTGGACAGTTTTTATAGGCGATTGCTATTTGCTCATCTGATAATTAAGACATCGGTCCATTTGGTTTGAAAACCAAATATGCAGTGTGCTTTCCAAGGCCGTGCAAAGACGAATCTTGTAGGTCTTGGCCTGGAACATGAAGCTTCCCACCCACGTCCCACCCTTAGAAGACATTTTACACTCAGGAGCCACTTAAACAAGACAATATCAGAAAAGCAAAAAAATAAAAAATAAAAAAAGAAACAAAGTTAGTCAATACACACTGCGAGCTCCAACATATACTATACCCATCTGCATTCTTCAAGACCTCAGCTGCAGAATTTTATGCCCACTGTTGAAAAGTTTTAAAGGAAAAGTTTTCTTGCCCACACCTGCAGTAAGGAAGTCAGGGGAATGATACATAAAAGTAAAGGCAAAGTGGTAATGGTATGTGACAATTTTAAAGCTCATCTGTGTATATGACACAGGTATGTGTAATACTAAAGTATGAATATAGTTTAGGATTTGCAAGCATCCAGGAATAATGTTGTGTCTACTGAAAATGTTTTTTTATTTATTTTTTTTTCCTTCTAAGCTACACTTTTAAAGTTACTTGTGAAAAAAAAAGCAAACACTTTTTTTTTTTGTTATAACAGCTTTAAAAATTGGTTGTGACTCACGGCTCGATGAACATGAGGCTTTTCTGCAACTCCCTTGCAGATTGATGTAGGCAGGCAAAGATACACTGAACCTTTATAAATAAAATAGAGGGGCCACAATTGTTCAGTTTGTATGAAATAAAAATATGGGCAGCAATTCAATAGCAACTCAATACACAAAGAAAGAAAAGCACTTATTCACTTACGAAACAAAGTGCAAAGTACCTGAACAGCCCTGCTAATGTGCCAAAGGGAATTTAAGTACTCAGCAAGTCGCAGAAGGGAGATACAAACCGCAGCGGGAACATATTTTGCACAGGCTGTCACATTTCTTTTCTTGGACAACAACTACACCGGCCGGCTCCTGCAGGCACACCTACCTACATGCCTCTGTA